ACTTCAAAAATATTTTCAGGCAGTTGAAATTTGTTCTGATTAACCTTAAATGGAGTATGACACTTTAGTTTTAAAGACAATTTTGCTTTATGATTGTTAGATGATCGAATTCAAAAGTTAAATGATTTTAACCACCCGGATATAAATTATCAATTGCCAATGACCAAAATTTTATGGATATAAAAATACTTCAGAGATTGATGGTGTGATAAACTTCTAGTCACTTGAAATTTATAGGAAAAAAAAACATTAAACAACTCTAAGTATAATGGCAAAAACCAGTGCAGTATAAAGCTAAAGTATTCTAGGGCCAATTCATCTTGATGTGTTAGACCTTAGAACTTTGCAATTTCCCATTTCAAAGTATTTGCTCTCACAAGGTAAGTGCAGGATATTTATGGAGGGAATTTTCTAGCTTTGCTTTCCATCAGATGATCAAAATTATGATGCACCTACAATCATTCTGTTGTTAATCAGTGCAGGTACTGAACCGCATATACACTCAATGGTAACTGACCTAGATGAGCAACATACCATTGAACTGTATTAGTTCTCAGGTGTTCAGAAAGCCCATTGTGGCTGTGTACAGAGACCACTGGTCTATAATATTCTTACTGATAGTCACTCAAACCCAAGTGGATCCAGGGCTCCCAGCACTTTTACCTACAACTGTGGTCTTCTAGACTCCCATCTCGCCCCCAAGCTCTCTGGAATACCTAAGAAAATGGATGTTTCTTCCTCATGGCTTCCTGAGACTCCCATTAAGAGCTGAGGACTTCAACAAATATCAAACTTTTTATTGCCCATAAAGAACAAAGAACAAAGCAGAATCCCAGAGGCTTTTTTAAAATTTGCATAAGTCTAAGTGGCAATTCTAAGATACTTTCCTTGAACTCTTCAATTAATTTCCCAGCTTTAAAAAACCCAGATTATTTCCTGATTATCTTTTCTTTTTTGTACAAAACTTTGAAAACTAGTCATTATTTTTCAATAGTACATTATGCAGACTTATTTTTCTTGAGCAATATAGCAGATAAACCCTGACCCACTGGAGAAAAAACTGAAATATAGGAGAACATATAACGAACATTTTAAAGGTTACTACTGAGTTCGTAAGTAGATATGCAATAATCAGGTAAAACACTAAGTGGGGTTGGGGATATGGCTTAATGGTAGAGTGCATGTCAAGACCATGGGTTCAAACCCCAGAATGGCAAAAACTAATTAATTATAACACCCTACACAAGTAAATGAAGCATTTGTCAAACCTGATAAACCTGAACTTCAATTTTTCAGTGGTTGGGACTTTGCAGCAAAAAGACAAAACCCACTCAAATAAGACCCCAAAGAGCTTAATCATCATGGTGAAGGAGACTAGAGTTAAATAAACTTTCATCCGTTGTTGATGGCTGACATCTGTAATCTTAAATACTTAGGAGGTTGAGATCTGAGAATCACAGTTCAAAGCCAGCTAGGCAGGAAAGTCAGTGGGACTCTTTATTCCCAATTAGCTAGCAAAAAATAAAAAAATAAAAGGCACTTGAGCTATAGCTCAAGTAGTAAAGCAAGCATTAGACAAGTGAAAAAAGCTAAGGGAAAGCACCCAGGTACTGAGTTTAAGTCTCAGTATCAGCCCCTCCACACACCAAAAAAATAAATAAATAAAAATCCCCCCCACCAAAAAATCTTTTCTCCATCACTAATCCAATCCACCTCACCTTGGAAATTAGCAATGTATAAAGGTACATAGCTGGAAAAGAAGTGCCTATAGAATTTGAAATTACAAAAGAGCCCTCCCACAAGTGTGCACACCTCCACCACTTGGAGAACTGAAAAGCTTCAAACCAAGAATTTCATTCTTTCTAGAAACCTGACAGAAATGAATTCTCCCAGAAGAAACCTAGCCACTGAGTTATTCTAAAAGACAATGTTTAAGAAAAATGAGAACTCATTCACAGATAATCACAAAACACCTCAGAAACTCTCTAAAAGCAAAGGATATGAGTTATAAAGACAACACGGGAGTGGTACAGCAACAGTAAAAGGGAGGATAGAAAAGAGAGGTGAGGAGTTGGGAAGGTTCAGTGGTAGAGCGCTTGCCTTGTATGCCTGAGGCCCTGGGTTTGATTCCCCAGCACCACATAAGCAAAAAGAAAAGAGCCAGAAGTGGCTCTGTGGCTCAAGTGGTAGAGCGCTAGCCTTGAGCTGAAGAGCTAAGGGACAGTGCCCAGGCCCAGAGTTCAGGCCCCATGACCGGACACCCCCCCCCCCAAAAAAAAAGAAAGAAAAGAGGTGAGGGAAGAGGGGAAATGAAGAGGAGAAAAAGGAAACAGAGGGGAGGATAAAAAGAGAGGATGATAAATTGTAAATAATGACCAAGAATAAATAAGAATGCCAATAAATGAAAAACATTAATACTTAAAATGAAAAGTAAAAAGCAACCGTATGGCAAAACAAAACCACTGAAATAAGAACTGATAATGTGGAAGAGTGTGCTAAGGAAATCTGGAGTTGCATAGATAGATAGAAAATAAAGCAGGCTAATGAACCACTAATAGAGAAGGTATAATTAGCCCTACACTCAGGATTATGGATACCTTTGGAGTTGTGGTGAGTGACGGAGAAAAGAACAATCCATGGGATATACCAACATTTCAAAAGTACTACAAAATACTTTTCTTTTATAGATACACTGATATTTTAATTCTTCTGTTATTTTTCTTCAGACTTTATATATAGGTATCATACAATCATCTCTCAGTATCTATAGGGGACTAATTCCAGGACAACCCTCATATCCAAGTCCAAACATTTATGCCCCTTACATAAAATGGCATAGATTTCCAAATAACCTAAATATACCAACCTATACACTTTAAACACCTAGATTACTTAACAATATTTATTGTAACAAAAATATTGTTTTAGTAGTTGTTATAATGTACTGCTTAAGGAATAATGAAAAGAAAAGGCAAGCATGTGTTCTATACAGATCCTACTACCATCTCCTCCCCTGTAGTATTTTCAATCCACTATTGATTCAATCCTTGGATGTGGAGCCTATGGAGAAAGGACAGTCAACTGTAAATCCCTTTATATGGATAATTCACACAAGAAATGTTTTCAAAACAGCAATAGCACCTACATGCATTTCATGAGCTGCTCAAGATTCAATCAAGTTGAAAGCAAGTGGACTTTTGTTGCTAAATCTATATGCAGAGGTTTTGTTTAGAACCCTTACCCTATGCAGCATTTTCAGTATTTCTAGGAGAGCTTTAAGGTGGCCGTTATTCACATCACTTTCAGCCCAATAACGCAACTGAGCACCCAAGGCAGTTTTAAACATCTGCACCAGTTTGCTGAAAACAGACTCTTGTAGTGTGGTCCAGAGCATCTCTGAGGAATACAAAAAAGCCAAACAAAATTGTTAGGGCATAATTTCTTCTAGATTCTTCCTATTTCCTCAAACTACTAATGCAGGATTTTAATATGCTGTAATTACAAATGCGTATCTGTCTCTTCAGAGAATAGTAATTTTTTTTTGTTGGTTGTGGGGCTTGAACTCTGGGCTTGGGCGCTATCCCTGGGCTCTTCAGCAAAAGGTGAGTGCTCTACAGTTTGAACCACAGACCACTTCTGGTTTTCGAGTGGTTAATTGGAGATAAGAGTCTCATGGACTTTTCTGCCCAGGCTGGCTTTGAACTGTGAGCCTCAGATATCAGCCTCTTCAGTAGCCAGGGACAATAGTGATTAATACACACATTCCCTGAGAGTTAAGAGAGCCACAAACTTGGAAAAAACAAAAATAGCACATGGTAAAAATTGTTTATGGGGCTGGAAAGGTAGCTCAGTGGTAGAGCACTTGCCTTGCATGCCTGAGGCTCTGGGTTCGATTCCTCAGCACCACATAAGCAAAAAGAAAAAAAGCCGGAAGTGGTGCTGTGGCTCAAGTGGTAGAGCGCTAGCCTTGAGCTGAAGAGCTGAGGGACAGCGCCCAGGCCCAGAGTTCAGGCCCTGTGACCGGACCCAAAAAAAAAATGTTTATTACTTCAGTATTAATTTTGTGCTCCTAGCTTGTATTTTAAGGAATTATGATCACTTTTCTTATATGATATTAATAAATTCCATATTTTTGTTGAATAATAAAATGAGTGAATTCTCATCCCTTCAAATTTATATTCAAATGATTAAGTTTAAAAATGTAAAAAATGAGAGTACAAATGACTACATAACTGTTGGCCCTAACATGTAGGACACACGGGTAATCATCCACTATTCTTTCAACTTCTCGTTTGTAAAATTTTTCATAATGAAAAGTTGGGGACAAAGGAGCTCATCACCAAGCCATGCATATAATACCCTAAGAATTCTAAAAAGATATTAAATAATCTGTATTTGACATCCCCAGTAATTGTTAACATCATCTTTCCAGAGTAGGCTAAGAATATGAGCTAAGAGATACAATGCATTTTTTTTCTTTTTTTGGTCAGTTTTAGGGCTTCAACTCTGGGCATGGGTGCCCACCCTGAGCTCTTCAGCTCAAGGTGAGTGCTCTACCACCTGAGCCACAGCACCACTTCCAGTTTTCTGGTGGTTAATTGGAGAGAGGAGTTTCATGGTCTTTCCTGCCCCAGCTGGCTTTGAACCACAATACTCAGATCTCAGCCTCCTGAGTAATTAGGATTATAGGTGTGAGCCATTGGCACCAGGCTACAATGCATTTGTAATTACCAATTTTTTTTCCTTAATTAGGAACTTCTGAAAAAAATGGACAAAGTATTTTCAACCATCAATCAATCTTACCCATAATTCTTAATGATTGGTCACTCATTTTACAAATAGCCTCGGCAAATGGTACTACTAGGTTCTCCCAGTAGTTAATATCATGCATCACAGGACATTGTGGGAGTAGCAAGAAAACTTCTAGTGCTTCTTGGTATGAAGAATGGAATGGCAAATTTTTTAGCAGATTGTCCTTAATACAGGCGATTATCTGTGGTCAGGAAGATCAGGGAAAATGATTTCAACAAAACAAGGTATACAACTTGGAGCTTGATTTCACCAAGAAATTAGTTTTTCAATCATTTAGTTTTTCTGAAACAAATGTTGACAATCTATCTTTGCCTAGCCTCCCAAATACTCTTCCCCCATTCAGTTGCTAGGTGCATGAAGATTAAGAGAAATGACAAAAGCAGAGGGACACTGGATGAGTGATGGATTCAGAACTATTGTAGCCCTCTCAATAATTAGTTCTATAATCTACCTTCTGGTTAGCATTACTTATTTTTTAAAAGTAAAAAATGTATTAGAACTCAAGAAAGCAAAACAAAATAAATATTCAAATACAATAATTCCTTTTATCAGCTCATAGACCTACATGTCTCCCTCAATCACTGATTTCTAGATATTCTAGTCTTCTATAGTTTTACGAAGTCAGATTGCAACTGTTTAAGGAAATTTTAAATTGAATCCTAAGTTGTTTGTGTGTGCTTCAAATGCAATTTGTTTAAAAACCCACCATGAAAAGAAGCTAGTATTTCTGGAGTACCTTATTAGACATTATATTCCAGCTTGGTCACTTAAGCTTTGAATATTTACTGCAACATAGATATTAGTCCTACTTTGATAGATGAGAAGTATCTTCTTCAAAAAAATTAACTCACTCAAGATTACACAGCTATGTAGGACTAGATTTTGCAAACTCCAATGTCCAAATTGTGTATGTGTGTGTTATATTGGAACTTTTAACTCAAATCCTCTAACTCTCCTGGCTTTTTTGCTCAAGTCTGGTGCTCTACCACTTGAACCACACCTCCATTATGGCTTTTGCTGGATAACTGTAGGTAAGAGTCTTGGGGATTTTTCTACTCAGGTTGGCTTCAAACTAAGATCTTCATCTCAACCTCCCAAGTAGCTAGAATTACAGGCGTTTGCCACTAATACCCAGCTCCAATGTCTGAACTCTCAACCACTATATTACAAACTATCAGTTAAATTGACCATCTCCAAGTATAAATACTGTTATAATGATCACTTTATACACTGAAATACTATTGGGCACCCACTATGAGGTTTACTTGGACTTAATATCTGACAACTTTATGTTAAAGGTTTAAGGCACTTACCCTACCCACCTCCTTGCTCATCAGCCAGTCTCACAATCCTCAAAACCATGGTAACACTCAACCAGTTTCACTGCTTTCCATATTGTTCCTTGAGGATACCTTTCAGGCTTCCTAGAAATCACTTCCATATAGTAGGAACCTGGTGAAGTCTACCTTCTGAGTCACCTTGTTTAGTGCTCTAAGTAAACCTAACCATTCAATACCCTACTAACAACTGATTTCACCAGAAAATACTTTACTGCTTTTTTTTTGTTTTTTTTTGCCAGTCATGCGGCCTCAACTCTGGGCCTGGGTACTGTCCCTCAGCTCTTCAGCTCAAGGCTAGCGCCCTACCTCTTGAGCCACAGCACCACATCTGGCTTTTTCTGCTTATGTGGTACCGAGGAATCGAACCCAGGGCCTCATGCATGCAAGGCAAGCACTCTACCACTGAGCCACCTTCCCAGCCCCTTAACTACATTCTAAGATAAACACTAGGGACAGTAATATGTGAAACACATTCAGTCTTCAATATGTGCATTGTGTACATGTATGTAGGTATGACCTGCCCTCAACCATGAGTTTCTGAAGGGCAAGGGGCACTCAGCAAGTAACAAGTATTTAAATGTTTAGTCAATAAATAAGTCTAATAGTCCTCAGGACAGAATTTTAAGAGAGTATCAGAGGTCTTCTAACCCCGCAATCCTCTTCTGAAACAGAGGTGAAAAAAATTCCTCTTTGTTATTTGCATTGTATTATTTTTTTTCCAGTACAACCAAGATGCAATCTTCAAGCAAGGCAACTCTCAGTGATGAACTCAGGGACCTTCCCATGGCTGTATTCAGCAGCCCTTACTGAAACTAAGTTACAGACATTGACACTGAGAGGTCAACTAATCAAATAACAGAGAACAAATATGGCCAAAATACTTTGTGCAACAGTTCATAGGTTAATGTTACAGGCACTTTAAAGAGTTGGAGCCCTGATAAAGGACTAGCTAGGCCTTCTTTTCCCCTAAACTTTCCTTACTCCCTTAAGAACAGTTTGATAAGGAAAAACTTGCCACTAAGAGCATTCAGATTGAGGCAAACAGAGCAGGCCAGAAGGGCGAGTAAGAGATGGGAACCAGACTAATGGGGACAAAGAATGAGGTACAGAAAAAAAAGAGGAAACCCTTAAGAGTGAAAAAATTGGCATGAGAAATATCATCCCTAAATCAACTAGAACAGCAGAGAAATGAGGTAAATAATGCTTAATCAAGAGGATAAACATGTTTTAAATGTGTGCAAGTAAGAAACTGAACAGTAACATCATTGAAACCAGAGGCAACAGCCCCAGAAAGAACAGGACTATTCTACAGAAAAATGGCCCAAAACAGAAAAGAAAGAATCCAGGAGGTCAAAGGTGAAAAAATAGTCCTATTAAAGTATGCTCATTTCTATATTTATGCTTAAAACAACTGCACATATAATGTTCATATGTTAGTGCCACAAACTTAACAAATTTTTTAAACAGTTTCTTAAAAGTCCTGAATCCTCTCTGTAATACGTAGTTATAGGTGTCTCTATGCATAGACACTATATTATTTGTATCCTATGTGACTACTGCACCACTTTTACCAACCTAAATGGGCAAACTCCTGAATGTTATCTTAGTTTGATTTAATCTGGATAAACCAGTCTCTTAAGAGGAAAGATTTCTTCTGAAATTCTGGGTTCTTAGACAGTTCTAGTATACTCTTAAGAATACCACCGTGTTAATAATCCAGTCTTTTTGAGTTAATTCCTTAAAGGTGTTTCTTGCTTTACTTAAGTCCAGATAAACAGACATGGTTTCTGCAGTCAGTCTATAGAAGAAAAATAAATGCATAAGTAAATGAAAATGAATATTATCTAGATTGTTTTAGACCATGCTCCATTTTAATAAAGCTACTGTTTTCAACAAGCTACCTTGTTCTCGACAAGTTATTTTAATAACTATAATAATTTGACTGAATACAAACCAATGAAAATATAGGTAGCATGCAATTATTTCTAAATGGAAAAGAAAACCCCAAAAGATGCATTACTTTTATTTTTGGTAGAACTGGAGTTTGAATTCAGGCTTTGAACTTCTAAAACCAGTGGTTTACAACTTAAGTCACAAAAAAAAAAAAAAAAACCACAGGTTTTTTTTTTTTTTCTGGTTTTGTGACAGAATCTAACTTCTGTTGGAGTCTGGCCTCCAACTTGGACCTTTCTGATCTTAGTATTCTGAGTAGTAGGATTACAGGTGGTCCCACTAAGACTTCATTTATTATATATTCCTGAAGCCTTTGAGTCAAGATATGTTTTATCTAAGATGGCTACTCAAGGACATAGGTATAGTTCAGGTACAGCACTTGCGTAGCATGTACAAGGCCTTGGGTTTGATTCCCAGCAAAATACATACACATCCCTTAAGGGAAGTTTTTTTCAGCAAGAAAAAAAAAAAAAACAGAAAAATAAAGGTTTTTCCTGGTTCTAAAACCAAATAGTCATTTCTCCAGGATACATGAAACAAAAGTAGGGACACCTCATGAAGAGGCTTCAGAGCAACCAATTCTTCACATTACAATAGAAATATTAAAATTAACCGTAATCTATGAATTACACTTGTGAACTTAATGGACATCCTGTTTAAAGATGGCATTATTTTTTGTAAAATGATAAAAGAATTCTTCCTGGGCATGGTGACGTTCAAGAACACTTGTAATTCCAGCACTTGGGAGTCTGAGGCAGGAGAACCACAAGGTCAAAATCAGCTTAGGCTACACTTCTACTTCAAAAATAAGTGAGTATGCCAATGTAAAGAATGCTTTTAGTGAAAGAAAACATTATACATATGTTTAGGAAATGAAGTATAAGTTTTTCTCTAATATTTAAAAATTCATAATGAGCTAGAGGTACAGAAGAGTGGTAGAGTACATGCTTGGGATACATGTGGCCCTTGATTCCCAGAACCAATTATGGTTTGGATATTAACATCCTCCAAAAAGACTCAAGAAATTGAAGGCTTGTTCTTAGATGAATGCGGTGTTGAGACATGGATCTTTGGGGAAGTGATTGGATCATGAAGGTTCTGCCTCTTCAATGAGTTAATGAACTTTAAATGATTAAACCATTGGGAGGTAGGGAAACTATGGAAGGTGGGCCTAGATGAGGTAAAGTAGGTCACTGTGACATGCACTTTGAAAGGTACATTTTGCCATAGCATTTCCTAACTTCTCTGCTTTCTGGCTACCATGAGAAGAGCACCTTTCCTCCTCCATGTCCATATGCCATGTTTCAGTCCTACCCGACATACACAGCAATGGAATCAGCTGACTACAGACTGAAATCTCTGAAAAATGTGAGCCAAAATAAATCTTTCCTCCTTTGTTTCTTTCGGGCATTTGCCACTGAAATGAAAAACATAATACCTCTCCTATACCACAGAGAAGATATCTTAAAATCTTTTAGCAATGAGTGAATAAAAATATAGCCTTCTCGTGGAATATAATAGGTAATAAAATGTTAGAGAATACTGAATACAGAATTGAGTAAGATGGAAAGGTTAAGTATAAAGCAAAGTCTAAAAACAATCATTCCCTTTTGTGTATATATGTGCTAGGGACTATATACTTAACAACCCTAACACAATTTTTGTATGAAAACACACAAGCACAGAAAAATGTACTAGGTACTCTTACTATATTTGGAAGGGGGGTCTCACTTGTTGCTCAGAATGATTTCAAAAGCTGGGATTACAGCCACCATACCACTGTAAATGAACTTGTACTAAGTAGTGGGTTATGTATATTCATTTTATTTCTTTCACTTGTAATTTTTTTCTTGTGATATGGGTCTAATACTTGCTAGGCAAAGGTTTTATCACTACGCTACATTCTTAGTACTCTGTATTTTCAGCATATTATACAGGAAGCAGTTGTCTGTTTTTGTTGAGAAAAACTTTTTTTGTTTCAGATAAGGTCTCACTGTAACTCAGACTGGCCTCAAACACTGTATCAGTTTCCCCAGTACTGCAATCACAGACATAATTTCAAGAAGACAACCACACAGAAAACTGTGCTTGGAGCCATTTTTTTCAAATATGTTTTCCTGTTTGTTTTTTTAAAACAAAACTTTAGTTTATTACATGCATTACCTTTCCTTTAAGAAACTTCCAGTCAGGCAGGCAGGAGATGCAAATATCTCTCGAATTTCCCTACATTAGGAGTAAATTGTTAATAAATCAAGTAATACTGTGAAATGTGAAATCAGAAACACAACAAAATTATTAAAAATAGAGCCAAACATTAAAGGCAGAACCCCTCTGCAGGGGGAAACTCCTGGTCAAATGACCAGTAGTCAGCCTAAGCCTTTTCCATTCTTGCTAAAAAGCAATAGAACACCTCTCCCTCACTCAAGTTTACCAAACTGGCAGCTTTGCAGTTTACCACAAACTTTGCTGAAGGCCACTGACAATCTTGAGATTTATCACCAGCTGTATTGAGTTATTATATTAGTCAGGAATTTATAATAAAAATAATTTCTGTAAAATAGACTACCTCTACCCAAGGGTGTTTTGACTTTTGTAATCCAAGGATATGTTTTGACTTTTGTAACCAAGTATCAATAGTACTGATCATGCTGACCAAATCAAGACTATGTTTTGCTTCTGTAAACCTGCTTGCTTGCCTTGACACCCCTCCCACCCTCATGTGGCTTTTCTTTAAAAGATCATCATGGGAAAAAGACCTCACTGTATCCTATCAGCCAAATAGTGGGGTGTAGTCGCCATGTGGCTAATAAAAAGACTCCTTGCCCTGTTTAACTGAGTAGGTGGCCTTATTTCCAGATTTGGGATTCTTCAATACAGCATACTTCTTTATAAAACAAATATGATAAACAGAACATGTTATAATTGTCTTTCAAACTTCTTCCTTTCTCTTCTACTTGTTTGCATAATGTCTTGACATTGGAAAGTCTGCTCTACTTGCTAAATCTCAAAATGTCAATGTCAAACAAAAAGGTATAGACTCAAAGATGACCCAGAAAAGAGAAAAAGACCTGATTGATTTAGGGTCAGAAATTCCTTGGACAAAGTAAACAGTCCCACCATACCTAACTTCTGAAGATTTATTTATTTCTGTTTCATGAAAGTGGTAACAAAAGAAATTGCCATAAATTAGTGACATGTGCATATATTCAGTTTCATCTTAAAAACAATGTAACTTTACAGGAATGCCCCTTGATCATTCATGTTCTGTACATTATGTGACCATCTTAACAAGTATTTTTCAGAGTTAAAAGGCCATATTTAAAGATATCTCTAAAAATGATGCTTGTAAAAATGACTACCATCTTTCAATGTGGTAGGAGTTTCATGGTATAGACCAAGACACCCTTTCAAATGCTCAGCTAAATTAGAAGTGTAAAAAAAGTGGTTTCAGGGCCAAACAAGGCTAATAAACACCACAGAATGCATTTTCTGCTCAAATTCACAACATTGTAAACATATTAAAGCCCAAAGAAGTCCTTCAAATAAAGGAAGTTGTCCTCAGGGAGCTTCCACTTTAGTTGTGATGATTAATAGTAGGTGTCAACTTGGCTAGGCTAGAGTACACAGATTCTTGGTCTCATTATTGTTCTAAGAGAGTACTTTTTAGATGAGATTAGTATCTAAAGTAGCAGATTTGGAGTAAGCTAGATTGCCCTCTGTAATGTGGGTGGATCAAATCTAATCACTTTCAAGCTTTAAAAGAAAAAATGTTACCCAAGAAAAAGGAATTCTGTCTTCAGACTATGTTTAGACTCAAAGTGTTCTTTCTGGCTTCTCCAGCCTATCTCCATTATACAGACTTTAGACTTGTCAGCCCCACAATTACACAAGCCAATACACAGTAACAACAGTAACATAAAATAAGAAATAAAAAATAATTTATGTCTACATCCATAGGTATAGCTCCCTATTTGGTTCTGTTATAGCTATCCTAATGGTTGTGTTCTTGGAAAGCCCTGATTAGTACAATACACTAGAAGAAAACCAAATCTCATATCTTGAGTGTGCAGAACCAGTAAAGAAAATGTTGCTTTAACAAAAAGTAAGTTAATAAGGGGTATACATACCTTTTTGTATTCTGCCACTGTTTAGTTCCTACATCAGCAATCCATCTCTTTGGAGTCCCTTCATTCAATGTAAGAATTTTTCTTCTCAGATTTACATAGGAATTCTGTAAATAATTAATAAAACAGTACGATAATTTGAAGACATCCAAAAATATATTCAATTTTAGGCACATCTTATAAAGAGTAACACTGATTATTTTTTAATAAGATCTCAGTATGTAGCCCAGGCTGGTCTGAGTCTCTTAGCCTCTAGTGATACTCCCTCCTAAGTGCTGTGATTACTAGCACATTATCACTATGTCAGACTAACTTTTAAATGTAGAAAATATTGCTCTCTGAACAATCATAAAGGAAGGACTATAGCAAGACATTTCCAGTGTTTATGTCTGGTTGACATTTCTTGCCAAAGACTTGGAAACTAAATCAGAGAAATCTGTCTCAGTGTCCCCATACTCAAGCAAGTTAAATAAACTGACAATTACCTATGTAAGTGGGAAGAACTTGGTTTCTCTTGGTAAAGTGACACAGAAATCATAGATTAATTCTTAAGCCTATGAACAGGTTTTTTAAATACTGTACTTGTTAACATTCTTTAGAATATGTCATCTCACTAGGACACTAATCTGCAGTACTGGCAAGGAGCTTCCTCAGAAGGTAGGTAATCTTAAGAAAACCAATTGATTCAATAGCAACCATGAGTGAACCTGTTGATTTTTGTAGTAAACATGGAATTAGTTTAGGCAATAAAGGATTAATATCTACATATTCCCCTAAAAGTCAGCCTGGTAACTAAATAATTTTCAAGTTCAGTAAACCTGAATTCTAGACTACATCTGCCAAAATTACAAAATTATTCAAGGAGAAACCTATTTTTACCTCTTTTTCCATCCACAGCAAAATGCTTTGGTTCCCTCCAGCAATCATTATCAGTTCCTTTCCTGAATTGTGATATTCTGAAAGGAATGTGTACAATTTAAGATTTCTAACAATTAAGTAGATACTATGTACTACAGGGTACAATCTGATTGAAAAACACAGGTGATTCACAAGATTGACATGTGGAATCACTTCAAAATGCACAATTTGTAAAAAATGCTTATATACCTCTATCATAAATACTGAATTAAACATTCTTTAAACAACTATCTCGTTTAAATAGGGATACAGGTGGTGGACCCATTGCAACAATGAGATATACAAGTTGTTATGTTGAAAAACGAACTTTACAACTTTGGGCGGGGGGGGGGGGGGGGAGAGGGAGAGAGATGGGAAAAAAAAAGAAAACTATTTCAAGATTTAACCAATAATTGTTGCCTGCAAAGAATATGAATATATCCAGTTATATAACATGAAGAAAGCAAAGATTTAACACATGAAGTAATTTAAAAAAAAAAAACAACTCCTTCCAGAAAAATGAGAGAATTCTAATTCTAAGCTTACAGTATTCCAAGGCATTCCTTCTGTGTAGGGCAATTAAAAGCTCAGGCTCTGGTTTTCACTGAGCATAGTTTAATTTTAGACCAACCACTTACTTCTTGGCTTTGATTTAGTAGCTATTTTGCTTTCAAGTCTATTTCCTCCAGTAAAATGGGATGACAGAATAACCAATACAAGGATTGCACAGTAAAATGCACAGTTCTAGTGCTCTAGCTCTGTCAGCTGCTCAGCATTCTGAGGGTTCCACAGGATTATGTGTCACACAGGAAAGAGAGTCAATTACTTAGAGTTTGTAAACCTCTTACAGTTTCAGTATATATACTCCATATAGTCTGTTTTATTTCCGCTCAAGTTGACATTAATCCTGAGGAAAGTAACAGTTCCGACTCCACAACTTACACTGACTCTTTTAACTTATAAACACATAAAGTCAATGCTCAGAAATAGTCCCTCCAGACTTTCTGCTTTCCCTACTGCACTACTTAAAAGATAATACTTTCTCTAACAATGTATTACTTCAAATCCTGTGAGCCTACAGAATTTACCCAGTTTGAGTTCTTCATTTGATGCCAATTTCATGGGAAGCGGTATCAGTTGATTATGTTTTCCATCATTTCCTAATTGTCCTTCTTTCCCAAAACCAAAGGAAAAAACTTTTCCCACATCAGAAACATAGGCAAGTGTGTGCCACCTATTAAATAAAGCACATACCATCAATGCTACAATGACAAGAGTATTTAGTGATACAGTAAATCGCTCAAATCAGGTTACCAAGTATTGTGAAACTAAGTCTCCAGGGTTAAAGCCATCTGGAAACCAAATAATCACCAATATGTGGCTGAGAAAACTTAAGAGACCCTACATCCACTCAAGATCATGGTATCATGTTTTATTAGTAGGGCATTCACTTCACTGGCATCAAGTACTTTGCCTGGGCTGCTACTCTCTTTTTAGCCTCAACTCGAGACTACCCACTGGGAAGCCATCTCTAAATCCCTCCTCAACCCATCCTAGTAGACTGAATCACTTGACCTTTGATCTCCCAGTCTATTTCCCAAAGATGCTTATCACACTAATTTTCTTACTGATTTCCTCAGTGGGTCTCTCCTGCCAAGGGTATACAGCAAGGAATTTTGCCTTGCTCAAAGACCAAGTCTGTCCTTGTCCCAGTCAGGGAGGTAACCTCAAAAATCTTCAATTTCCCAAATGCCTTTGGCCCTGGGACCCTCTGCTGGGTGGCTCATGGAGAGCTCTTATGGCCTGCTAAATAAGCCAGAGCAACAGAAGGGAAGGGCTAGAGTCTGAGCTCAACAATCTGGTAATGATTTAATCCATTATGCCTATGAAAATAATAAAAACTCTAGGCTTAGGTAAACTTCCTTGGCTGACAATACTCATGGTATATCAAGCAACAATTCAGAAAATGTTAACACTATCCAACTGCTTCAAAAGGACTTCTCCTAGACTGTTTGCTCCATTCTCTTCATTACTAATTAGTATACATTTTTAACTAATAAATGTGACTAAGTATATCAGCTTCCAGAGTAAATGCTCTTGTGACTACACTAAGGAATCTAACTTGGTTCTTAGCAAATATGTTACTCAAAGGGTACAGTTAAGAAGAAGTGAGTCAAAGGGACATTTCTTTGATTAGGGTATTAAATCAGAGAGAGCTCAAGAAGACATCTCTTTGGTTAAGAAAAGCTTACCCCAAGAGTTTGGTCTATGTTAGTATTTCCCTTTATGTAATTTTCCTCCAGTATCCTAAGGGAGTATGTCTATAATGGACTGAAAATAAGTATGATGATTTTTCATTAAGTTCAAAAACAAATATCTATGAGTCTCAATTTGCTCATATTTATGAAGAAAAAACACCCAAATTAAGCATAAATAGGTGAAAATACTTATTCCCACAAAGGTCAAACATTCCACAGCCAGAAGTAAACTGATGAATCTGATGGTCAAAGAAAGTAATTAAGCAAACTAGTAAGTCTGGGCAAGATTTTTTGCCTTTATTTTTAACATAAGCTGTGAAACCCCAAATTCTCAGGAATATTCCATTCAAAGAGCCACCAAGAAAATCTGAAATAACCATTGCCTAGTGTAATTTGGCTCCCATTACAATAAATAGTTTAAATATCTAGGTAACTAAAACACTTGCCACTCAATGGGTTATTTAGAGGGTGTTACACTAATAAATAGTACTTTCTGGCTTATGTTCATTTTTTTCTAAATATTTTTTGTGTGTGTCAGTCCTGGGACTTGAACTCAGGGCCTGGGTATATCTTTGAGCTTTATGCTCAGGGCTAGCTATCTACCACTTGAGCCACAATGCTACTTCCAGCTTTTTTGGTAGCTAATTGGAAATAAAGAGTCGTATAAATTCTCCTGCTCAGGCTGCCCTCAAATCAAGATCCTCAGATCTCAACCACTTGAACAGCTAGGATTACAGGCCACTATCACCAGGATTACTAAATATACTTTAAAAATGACTTATTTTCCTTCAAGATGAACATGTACCTGAACAGTTTACAAAAAGCATTTTACTCAAGAGGCAATGGAGTAAACAATACAGAACAGCTGGAGCGTAGCTCAAATGTTATTGCATATGCTCAGAATGAATGAAGCTCTGGGTCTGATCTTAAGCAACATACACAAACAAATACAAATGAAAGAAAACAAATACATATACTAAAAGATGCATTATGCTTAGTAACGGGAACTAAACAACATTTGAAAATGTTTATCTAAAAAATCAATAGCAATTTTATTCACTCACTGCATTCATTTTTATCAGTTTCCTTTATACTTTACAACTTACCT